TAATAAGAACGATCAGCAATAATAAGAACTAAAATAGAGCAAACGAAGAAGAAAGAGAGAAGTTACAGAAGAAGCTAAAAGTGCAATAAAAAAGGTAGAAAGAAAGTAGAAAAAAAAGGGGGGGATATAAAGAAAGAGATAAAGGTATAAAAAAGTGGCTTCCGATATTCTTCCCAGCAGCTATAAGTACAATTATATTTTAACCTCTCTCTAAAGTTGCATCATAACTCTCTTCTTTCTATAATGGTTTGCTCTGTTTTGGCCTTGTTAACAGGATCGGCTTTTCCCCTTTGCAATGTTGAGGACCTCTGCCGTCCACGACGGTGGTCCCCGTCTTCTCCCCGTAACCTTGTTTGGGCTCCAGTTGGACGTGGGTTTGGCCTGAATGCGAATGGCGACCAGAGGAGGTTGTTCCAAGACCCAGGATCTCCTTTCCTGCAGAGACGGGTCATTCCTGCAGGCAGGGCGTTAATGCAGCCCCGTCTCTATTTCTTGTCCCTTAAGCTGTTGTGCTTTGGAAGCATGCTGCCTCTGAATATGGAGGCTCCATTCTTAAATGTATACAGTACGCTTACCCCAGACTTTCTCCCTAATCACAATGCTATCCTTTGTAAGTCTCTGTGCTAATAGTCAAAGGGGACTTAAAGTTAATGATTGATTGATTGATTGATTGATTGATTGATTGATTAGGTGCCATCAGGTAGTTGTTGGCCCTTAGAGGCCACATGCATAGATTGATTAATCATTAATGGCTAATGATTAAAAGGTTTTGCTTTACAAAGCTACCCTGCTTATGTGTCATGGGGGGTGGGGGGGCTAGCATCCAATGAGGTTTGCTGGCTGGGGAATTCTGGGAGTTGAAGTCCACCCATCTTAAAGTCGCTGAGGTTGAGAAACACTGAATTAAAGGAGTCTAATGGGAGTTTTTGTTGATACATTTAAATCTGGACAAATTGTGCATGAAGATAAAGTAATTTTTTTTAAACAGAAGAAACAGGACATATGGGGGGGTTTAAGGGACGAGCAACATTCCTGGGGCAAACCCTCAAACATAAATAAGCAATAAGCAATTTCATCTTTAACAAATCGCCCACATTTGGTGGGATTTGGGGAGGTGGGGGTGCCCAGCCCTGGAAAGGTTTGCTGACCCCTGTCCGTGCGGGAGAGACCTCTTCCCAGTTGGTGCGTGCAACTGCGCTGATGGGCCTGATATTTTATTTATTTAAAAAAATGATGCCGCAGGTAGGAAAATGAGCAGTCAGAACATTTAAATCCTTTTTTTTTTTTTTTTAAATATCTTCCTCAGGTTTGGAAGCGGTCGGGGGCCTGGTTCTACAAAGGCCTGCCAAAATGCATCCTGCCATCGAAAGGTAACAGCAAAGCCAAAGAAATGCACCGCCGGCCTCATCGAGCAGAACCACCACCGCTGGAGCTCCGGAGCAGCGGGGTGGATCAGACCTACACCTGGGCCAGGGGAAAAGGTAACCCTCTCCCCTCCCCATGGGAAGGGAGGCAGCAGTGGGGATTTTAGGGATGAGAAAGAGAAACTCGCCTCGGCAACTTTAAGATGGATGGGATTCCACTCCCAGAATTCCCCAGCCAGCATGCTTTGAGATGGGTGGACTTCCACTCCCAGAATTTCCCAGCCAGCACGCTTTGAGATGGGTGGACTTCCACTCCCAGAATTCCCCAGCCAGCATGCTGCATTAGATGCTTAAACAGACACTAAGAAGTAATTCCCCGTTTTATACATTCACGGCCAGAGGTCTCTTTCCAAATAAATTCTTGGACCAGCTTGGGCTCTAAATTTAACTCAGAATTAGACTATAGAGAGATGGTTAGTTTGTCAAGTGCCTTATTTCTCTCTCTTACCTCCCCATAATCTAATCTCCCCCATCAAACAGCTGGCAGCTACAGAAGATTTCCTCCCCACATGCTGTTTAAATAGCAGAAATGGTAGCAGACCTTTTTCCCACTGTAAAGCGGGAGCAATTTACCAGTTCAAATAGCCACCCTTAGTTTTTTGTCAGCTAAATTGAGGCTTGTACCTTTTCTGTCTCCCTTCAATTGAGTTTGCAGAAACAGCAGAACACCAGGGGGTGTGGGGTGGGAGAGAAAAGCCATTTAATGAGGTTTAGTGCTTGGCATAATGCACTCTCTTAGATTTTGGGTTGTTTCCTTTTTTAAAAGCATCAGAATTGATTAACAGCCAGCATACGTGCCTTTGAGTCGGTCACAACCTCTGACAGCTACAAAGAAAAGTCTCTGCAGTTTTTTGGGTAACATTTTTGGAAGCGGTTTGCCCTTGCTGCCATCGCCGCCTCCTCCTTCTTCTTCCTCCTCCTTCCTTCTTTCTCCTCCTCCTCCTCTTCCTTCCTCCTCCTCCTCCTCAATTCATCTTAAAGTTGTCAAGGTTGAGAAACACTGCTCTGGACAATCTCTCACTGCAGGTGATGCTTTCAAACATTTTTATAACAACGTTTAATAGCCTGCTTTCATGTTTCAAGGCGGTTCTCTGAATGGCTTATGGTTGCAAGAAAGAGTAAAAGACTGACTTTGCAGAATGCATGGGACTAGACTGGATCAAACCTGGACTGGGCCACCAAGGTGTGTCGTAAGACCACTGCTCTTATCTTAGCTTGTGGTGTGGAACAAAGCATCACATCTAACCATCACAGGCCTGTTTGTTGGGGGCACTGCATAGCAGTTGTGGTTTGTTAATTTGGGTTTAGGGTGTTGGGTGAACCCAACAAGAGGATTTTTGTGTTGGGCTGAAAAAAACATGTCTGTGCCATGTAAGCCTTTCTCAAGGGGGAAGTTGCCTCCACCCCAAAAAGTCTCTTGTGTAATCAGCCTCAATCCTCAACATTTGGGCGTTTTATGTGGACATAAATATTGGCAATCTTATTTCTTTCTCTCACTGTCTGCCATCAAATGGCGCTTCTTGGAAGTTGCGGGGGAACTTTGAAAAGTATTTAATGTGGTTCCTCCAGCAGCTCTGTTTGGCTTTCTCTCAAACGGATGATGGCATTCACCTCCCACCATTTCATTCATATTTCCACAGTTGTCTCTAGCGATAGTGATAGCGACTCTGAGATCAGCTCCTCAGGCTTTGATGATCGGTCTTCGGCTGTGGGATCCAAGAGTTTCAAGATCAGGAAACACCCAGCAGAGTCGGGTGAGCAAACCAGCTGCTGGAGAACGAGCAAATACATGCAGTTGTGTTCTCACACTCACATTTATCCTGGTTATGGAATTAACCTGTTGGCTGGGTTTCCACAAGACAGTGAACAGTAATTAATCAAACGGATAGGTAGGCATATCAAGGTATATCACAAATATTCTAGCCAAGGTTAACAGTAACTATACTCTACATGTAGCACAAATGCAGGCCTGACTTAACCCGGTTAGGTGTGTTGGTAAATATATCCAGAATGTGTGTGCATGTAAGACAGAGAGAGGGAACATTAACCCAAACACGTGACTTGTGGACATACAAGGGAATGTGAGAAGAAATGTTATAAAAACAAGGTTTGGGGGGGGGGGGAGGAATTTTTTTTTTCAGATGCCAGAATTTAGCTAATGGACAAAATGGCAGAACAGTTTCAGGAGAGTTTGTGGTGCTCAAGGCTTCCTAGCAGAGGTACAATTCTGCACCTAGGTGGGAAAAACCAGATTCACAGATACAAGATAGGCAAGATCTGGCTTAGCAGTAGTATAGCAGCACCCGAAATGGGTCCCACATTGACCTTCCAATGGTGGTTTTAGACCACTTCATGGTTTGGGAGGGATTGGCCTCTCAAAGAGCTCTTATGCCAACCTTTAACCTCCCCAGAATATAAGAATGGGTCCCCCAAATTCAGCCTATCCCTCCCTGTGATGCCACCATGTCACCGGATAGCAGAATTGTTGCTCCAAATACTACTCACTGTGGTTCCAAAAGATGTCTTTTTGCATTGGGGGGGGGGTTGGTTTATTAATTTGGCTTTTGCCCTACCAGCCTCCTGTTAAGGCAGTGTTTCTCAGCCTCAGCAACTGAAAGATGTGTGGACTTCAACTCCCAGAATTCCCCAGCCAGCATGGCTGGCTGGGGAATT